CCCGCAGCAAATATTTTTGCGGCCCGGCTGCCCGCATATGTTGACAAATATACTATATATTGCATATATAATATGCAATAAATAACAATTCAATAAGGAAAAAATGAAATATTCAACTGCAATAGAAATATGCTTCTTTATTAAATCTGTTTTATTATTGGATGTAATATTATTATTATATATATATTTATGTTTTGGATGAATTAGTGTAGCCTTTGTTTCACTGAATGACGTTCTCGATGAAGCAAATTTCCTAATTGCTTTAGTTTTTTTTATTTAGTGCTACTGCCCGAATCAACAGACTCATCGCAAAAGATATATTAATGCCATATATATATATATATATATATATATATATATATATATATATATATATATATATATATATATATATGATTTAGTAGTTAATTTTGATGTTGAAATTATGAGTGAGTTCTTGAGGGCGATACATCAAACAAAGAAAAGGCAAAGATTTATAAAATAATCTTTAATTCCAAACGTTTCGACATTAAATTTATCTTCTCTATACAAAACTAATTCTGACCATACTAACCTTGCCAACATTACTAGTTTAACTTCGGCCTTGAAACCCGAGCTTTACCTACCCTTGCATAGCAAATGTTGAATAACCCTTAAAAAATTTTTATTTTAGATATTTGAGTTATTAGTATAACTACCTAGTAGGGTAGGGCGGGGCTAGTTGAGCATAGGGGCAAGTTGAGCAATCGAAATATCTCGAGAACTATTCACCGTCCGTTTAGGCATTATATGACGGAAAGATAGAGGTTTGCGAGAAATAAACATCGCGCGATCGCTAGTGGCCGCTGGACAAATGAGTGAGGCTCACGGGCGTTTTGTTTATTTTGAGACCAAAAAGTAAAAAAGTAATTCATCACGAGTTTTCGTCTGGTTTATTCAAAAGTTATTTAGTTTCAATCAGGTAAATGTCATTCTTCCATATAATTATAGTACTTTTAATATGCACAGAGATTCTGGGTATAATTCTTACGGTTTTTTTATAAACTCACTTTTATTTTGAAATTCCGAGTTGGGGTTAGTTGAGCATAGTTGCTAAACTTGTTGTGTCACTAAGACTATTACCATTAACTTCCAGAAATTAATTATTATTTTTAAGATTTAAGCTAAGTCTATGACTAATAATATAAACAAATAATGATTTTAAACAAAAATACTGAATATAATGGTAAAATAATTCCTAAGCTATGATATTGTTTTGTTGATTCTAATTTTGGTTAATTATTCAAAGAAAATTACAATAAGTTTTGTTTACTCTGTCAATAAAGACTATAAATATAGAACTGGTTATTAAAAACTTATTTTATTTCATCACTAATCGACATTGAACCTATGATTTTACTATACTTTCTTAGTGCTCAACTTGCCCCACCTATGGGGTACATTGAGCATACTTGACTTTTTGCATTTAAACAGCTGTAGCTTTTAAATTTTACTTATTACCAAAAAATAGTATAAACACTTTTGTTAAGCGATAAACAACAAATCCATTAAGCCGTATAGTAATTTATTGAGACTTTTCATTGAGGAACTACATCCGTTTAAGTAAAAATTTGCTCAACTAGCCCCGCCCTACCCTAATACTAAATAACGTTTCCAATTTTTTTTTCTCCTCTTAAAAAAAAACTAATTCTAACCATACAAACCTAGCCTAACATTACTAGTTTCAATTTCGACCGTTTTTCTACCTACCCACTCATAACAATCCTTGAATGACCCTTAAAAATCTTCCAAATCACGTGTGGCGCTCACACATGCCTCGGTACACGCAAAGTACAGAAGTCGTGGCAGAAATTACATAATTCTGCTTACATTTTTGTTCAAATAAAACTATCATTTTTCTGTTAACATCATACAAAAAATTATAAAAAATGCTTGGTGTTGACAAGTTAGTTGTATAAATGTTAGTGCCAATCTCTAGTGTTGTGTACACTTCTCTAGATGTAACCTACCAACGTAATATAAGTCCACTTGTATTTTATATGTATTATCCATCTTCATAAATATTTTTTTGCTTTACATATATACGAGTTTACATATATGTATGTTTATATATATATATATATATATATATACGTATTTGTATGTATATATGTATATATATGTATACTATTTATTTACATGTATGTTTGTATGTATGTACATATGTATATGTGTATACATGTATTTGTATATGTGTATATATGTATGTATGTATATGTATATATATGTGAGCATTTATGTACATATGTATATATGTATGTATTGTATGTGTATATGTATACATGTATGTGTATATATATATATATATATATATATATATATATATATGTGTGTATATATGTATATGTATATATGTATATATACATGTTTATGCGTATATGTATATGTATACGTGTATAGCTATAGTTACATAGATAGGTATGAGTATATGTATGTTTCATACATGTACATGTACGTCGTTGTGAATATGCATGCACGTTGCATATATGTATATGCGTATATTTATATATGTATAGTCGTACATGTATATGTGTACATATACAGGTTTATATTTTTATATTTGTATATGTATATGTGTATTATATGTTTGCATGTGTGTGTGTATGTATATATATATATGTGTATATATATATATATATATATATATATATATGTATATATATGTATATGTGTATATGTGTATATATGTATATATGCGTAGGTTTATATGAGTGTACTTATATATTTTTGCTTATATTCCTTTTCTTTTTTAATTATCTATTTAATTCTAGTCTCTATTACCTTTCCTATCTTTTGTATTTTGTTTGTTGTTAAGTGTTGCTGTTTGTTAATTTTTCTCTTATTTTATAATTACTATACCAATCCACATATATTATAATTACCTAGATATACTAATTTTCATACTGTTTTTAGATCCACTGATGATGACATTAAATTGAATGTCGAAACGTTTGGAATTAAAGATTATTTTATAAATCTTTGCCTTTTCTTTGTATATATATATATATATATATATATATATATATATACATGCAATGTATATATGTACATACAATGTATATATATATATATATATATATATATATATGGTTTTTTTGCGGCCCGCTTGAAGTTAAACCTTGCTTATGCGGCCCGATTGCACCTTTGATTTTGACATCCTTGTGTTAACGATTTGACAGGACGGTTTACATCGAACGCGACCAAACCTATACAAACCGCCTAGCATTTTTTCAGATGTGTTTAGTATAATTTGTTTTGTTTTTTAGATTTGTTTGCGCAGTTTAATATTGATCTAATACTACTAGTTTTAATTAAATTAAAACTGTGACAGACAGACAAGACAAATTATATTATTTATTATTTATATTTTTTTTAGTTTTATTGTTTATTATAATAATAGATTAAATATATAATAAATAAGTTTTTCTATATTTATTGCAATTAAATATATAAAACTAAATTTAAATATATTTTTTTCAATCGTTAAACTCCTGTAAAATTGATGAATTTATTAATCTCATACCTTATTTGAGGTTAGAAAAGTCTAGAATTATTGTTTTTAAAGAATCGGCCTCCATGTTCTCTGACAGTCACAAACGCATCAAACCGAGCTGACCGAACGCGTAAATAAAAATCCACAACAGTTTGGAATTCAGTTTGGACACATCGAACGGTCAAAACGATCTGCGCATTCATCTGACGGTTGTGGACTGTCGGTGACTGTACTCGGAAGAAACCCAATAATGATCTTGACAGGTTTCAGCTGTCAAAGTTATGAATCCATTACTAGCACACACACACACCCACACACACACCCACACACACACACATAATAATAATAATAAATGGTAGTCTGCCCGAATGCAGGTCCATGGTGTGAGAGCCACCACAACAAATGATTTCCTTTCCCTTCATCTCATTACCACTATTCCCTATCCCCATTTTTTATTTCATGTATTTTTCTTTCCAAACTTCTGTTTCCATGCTTCTTGATCATGTGCTCCGGCTTTCAGTTCCCTGTATTTTCTCTTCTCGCGTAGGTCGTCTGCATTCTTCTCCTTCCCATTTCTTTTGTTCCTTCTATTTTACCCTCGACGACGTCGTTTAGGAGGCACTGTTTTTGCAACAGAGGTCCGATCCAGTTTCCTTTCTTTCTCAGAATTGTGCTCAGTAGAGTCCTTTCTTCGCCCACTCTTCTCAGGACTTCTTCATTTGCTACTTTGTCTGTCCACTTTATCTTTTCCATACGCCGCCAGCACCACATTTCAAAACTCTCGAGGTAGTTTTTATCGACCTTTCTCAGAGTCCATGTCTCCGATCCGTACAGAGCTATACTCCATACGTAGCACTTTATTAGTCTTTCCATAGGTCAAGACTCAGTTTGCTCGTCAGTAGCGTTCTCTTCTTTGTGAATGCCGCCTTGGCGCTTGCGATCCTTGTCCTGATCTCTTTCGTGCAGTATCCGTCTCTGGTTAGTATGCTTCCCAGGTATTTGAAGTGATCCACATCTTCCAATTCTCGATTTTCTACTGTTATTCTCAGGGGGTTATTTGTTTTTGTGATTCTCATCACTTTCGACTTGTCTATGTTGATTTCCATTTCGTATCTTCTACCCACTTCGACGATTCTGTTCATCATCTTTTGCAGCTCGGTTTGGTTTTTCGATATCACTACTAGATCATCAGCGTACTTTATGGTGGTGATTTTTCTTCCTCCAATCGAAAAATCTCCAGCACCCTCAAGTGCCTCGTTGACGAGCCATTCTCCGTACTGGTTGAATAGGATCGGTGACATACAGCATCCTTGCCACACTCCTCTCCCTATTTCAATGCTGTTTGTATCTCCCTGGTTTATTCAAACCTTTATATTCTGACTCATATACAGATTCTGGATCAGCCTGCGATCCCTCTAATCGACGTTAATAGATTTTAAAATTCCCATAAGCATACTCCAGTTGACTCTGTCAAAAGCTTTCTGTCAATCTATATTATTCTCAGTATTCCAATAGCGTCCCTGGTGCCTCTTCCTTTTCTGAAACCAAACTGGTCTTCGCTCATGTGCTGCTCAATCTTATTTTCGAGTCGCCTCGTAAGGATTTTGGCCAGAACCTTTCCGGTGTGCAAAGTTAAACTGATCGTCCTGTGGTCTCTGCATTTATTCGTTTTGGGCTTTTTCTGAAGAGCTATCATCGTGACATCCAAAAAGTCCTTTGGCCATTCACCCGTTCGATATATTTGATTCAACAATTTGGTCAATTTCTTTAATACGTTGTTGCGCAGCTCTTTCAGTAGGTCCGCCGGTATGTCGTCATCTTCCGTTGCTTTCTTTCTTCTCATCTCATTTATTACTCTCTCGACTTCGCTTTTCAATATGCACGGTCCTTTGTCGTCTTCGTCCATTTCTTTCTCTTCTTCGAACTCGATATTTTGAAGACGATTTTCTCTATCGTACAATTTCTCAATGTATTTTTCCCATACGCTGAGAATTTTCTTGTGGTCACTCAGTCTATTTCCATTGTCGCCTTCTATTTCGTATGTTTTTCTGCTTTTTCTGTCATTCCAGTTCATTTCCTTTGTAGCCTGAAACATTAAATCATACCTACCATGTTTTTGATGTTCCATTATCTTGTTGCACGTTTTGTCCATGTATTTCACCTTTGCTTTTTCGGTTTCTCGCCTCAATTCATTATTCATTTTTCTATACATCCTCGGATCTGTATTTTTGTACTTTCTACGCTCATCCATTTTCTTGATCATCTCCTGGGTTATCCATGGCTTTCTAGCTACTTTTTCTAGCTTTCCGACGTTGTCTTCTAGCGTTTCCAGAAGTACACTTTTTACCTCATTCCAATCTTTTTCTACTGCCTCTTTCCTACCTTTTATTACGCTAAACTTCGTCTCCATATCTCTCCTCACTACGATTTTATTGTTCCTCGGGTTTTCCAGATTCCATCTCTGTCTCTTTTTACCCGTTTTGCGGATGTTCTTCAGCTTTGTCTCTATATCGGCCGTGAGCAGTTTATGATCGGAGTCTACATCGGCCCTTGCAAAAGTCTTAACGTCTTTCACGCTAATTCTGAATCTGTTCTTGACGATGATGTAGTCAATTTGATATCGTTTGCTGTCTCCCGGGCTTTTCCAAGTATACAGCTTTGTCTTCCGCTTTTTAAACCACGTGTTTGTGATCATCAGATTGTTTCTGCGGCAAAAATCTTCTGCCCAAAAATCTTTCTGCCCAATCCGTATTTTCCGACTATCTTTTCCTCTGATCCCTTTCCGACTGCTGCATTAAAATCTCCCATAATCACCACGTTGACCTTTCCTTTGCCTTCCTGAGACAGCATCTCGTCTATCTGCTCGTCGATTAGTTCTACCTGCGCCTCGTCGTGGCTCGATGTTGGCATGTACACCTGCACCACCATCACGTCCACCGGCTCCGCTTTCATTTTTACACTCATCAAACGATCACTCACGCAGTTCACATTCAGCACACTCCTCACTGACTTGTTTCTCACCATGACTGCCACTCCTCTCTCGGATATGTCTCCTCCGGAGTGATACATTGTGAAACCGTCCGATTCGGTTTCACCTTGCCCCTGCCATCTTACCTCGCTCAGTCCCACGACGTCCACTTTGCACTTGTCCATTTCCCTCTTGAGGTTTTCCAGTTTTCCTGCCCTCATCATTGTCCTGACGTTCCAGGTTGCTAACCTGAAAAGCAAATCGACCGCAGTTTTGTTGCTACTTTCGATGGCTCCACCCGGAGATCCGAACGGAAGGTCATTACTCCGGAATATTTAGTAATCAAAATGTCTTCTAAAATAAATGACTTATTATTCAGAGATCAAAAAAAAAATATGTTTCACAGTGTTCATTTTCATTATTCCGAAAAGTCATTATTATCACTAACAGTTATGATTACACTGAGTACTTTCGCACTAATATCTCAGTTTTTTCAAAAAATGGAGTTAGTCGATGTGTGCACTGAGCGGCTCATATATATATATATATATATATATATATATATATATATATATATATATATATATATATATATATATATATATATATATATATATATATATATATATATGAGTGAGTTCTTGAGGGCGATACAAAGAAAAAGGCAAAGATTTATAAAATAATCTTTAATTCCAAACGTTTTGACATTCAATTTAATGTCATCATCAGTGGATCTAAAAACAGTATGAAAATTAGTATATCTAGGTAATTATGATATATGTGGATTGGTATAGTAATTATAAAATAAGAGAAAAATTAACAAACAGCAACACTTAACAACAAACAAAATATAAAAGATAGGAAAGGTAATAGAGACTAGAATTAAATAAATAATTAAAAAAGAAAAAGAATATAGGCAAAAATATATAAGTACACTCATATAAACCTACGCATATATACATATATACACATATATATATATATATATATATATATATATATATATACATACAAACACACATGCAAACATATAATACACATATACATATACAAATACAAAAATATATACCTATATATGTACACATATACATGTACGACTATACATATATAAATATACGCATATACATATATGCAACGTGCATGCATATTCACAACGACGTACATGTACATGTATGAAACATACATATACTCATACCTATCTATGTAACTATAGCTATACACGTATACATATACATATACGCATAAACATGTATATATATACATATATACATATATATATATATATATATATATATACACCTACATATATACATATACACACACAATACATACATATATACATATGTACATAAATGCTCACATATATATACATATACATACATACATATATACACATATACAAATACATGTATACACATATACATATGTACATACATACAAATATACATGTAAATAAATAATATACATATATACATACAAATACGTATATATATATATATATATATATATATATATATATAAAGCGAGAGGTTTTTCTTCAGATGGTGAAATAATATGATAAAATTGTTTCTTGGGCATCCATCCAATAATTAAAAAACAGTTTTATTGAAAAATGTTTTTATTAAGTGAACATACGTTTCGGGTCCAGATTTGACCCATCTTCAGTGCTACAAATAAATATATCAGGGTTACAAAATAAAACAATATAAAAAATAATATAAAAGATACATAATTACAGACAAAAATAAGTAGAACCAATGTATATGAAAAGTATATATGAAAAACAACATAAAATAAACAAATGTAAAGAAACTCACCATACAAATAAATTTAAAAAAAATAAACACAAAGCACAACACAAAATTGCAACGAAAAAATAAGTATGAAATAAAAAATTGAAAAAACATCAAGTTATGAAAATTTTTGAAAATTGTAAAAATTAAAATAAATAATATGTTTTATTATAAAAAAGCTTATTCCAACAGCACATCTTGTTAGTTTGGATACAGAGTTACGTGTGTGTAAACGAAAGTAAAATGTAGGCCTACGTGTTTGCAGCGGAAAATAGTGGAAACTGTATCGTCATTGGATGAGAGAACGGGATAGAGAGAAATTTAGAGGTTACAGTTATGAAGAATTTTCCAGCGATCATGAAAATGTGTAAGTCATCCATAATCAGACGGTTGAACAAAACTGGATCAAAATGAAATATGTGGATCAAAAAAAAATAAAAATAAAAAAAAAAAAACATAGAAACAAAATAAAACCAAGATAGCACAATGTAAAAAATATGTGAATAGAGAATTATATTAAGAAAAAGTATAGATATTAACTGAAAACGATAAAAGGTAAAAAACAAGTTATTATATAAACAATTATAAACACAACATATATATGTATATATACGCAACACAATAATTGTACATATGCATACACATACACAAAACATAACTAACATAAACAACCACATGCACACATGCAATTACAACATATATGTAAAATCCAAATATACACTCAAATGCAACATTTATGCACATACATGTATATCCACTAACAAAAACATGTATATATGTACATATACACATACACAAATATACGCATACATACATATATATATATATATATATATATAACATGAAAGAATTGTTAGGAAGTTTCATACTTATTTTTTCGTTGCAATTTTGAGTTGTGCTTTGTATTTATTTTTTTTTTAATTTATTTGTACGGTGAGTTTCTTTACATTTGTTTATTTTATGTTGTTTTTCATATATACTTTTCATATACATTGGTTCTACTTATTTTTGTCTGTAATTATGTATCTTTTTTATTATTTTTTATATTGTTTTATTTTGTAACCCTGATATATTTATTTGTAGCACTGAAGATGGGTCAAATCTGGACCCGAAACGCATGTTCACTTAATAAAAACATTTTTCAATAAAACTGTTTTTTAATTATTGGATGGATGCCCAAGAAACAATTTATATATATATATATATATATATATATATATATATATATATATATATATATATAAACATACACATATGTAAACTCGTATATATGTAAAGCAAAAAAAAATATTTATGAAGATGGATAATACATATAAAATACAAGTGGACTTACATTACGTTGGTAGGTTACATCTAGAGAAGTGTACACAACACTAGAGATTGGCACTAATATTTATACAACTAACTTGTCAACACCATGCATTTTTTATAATTTTTTGTATGATGTAAACAGAAAAATGATAGTTTTATTTGAACAAAAATGTAAGTAGAATTATGTAATTTCTGCCACGACTTCTGTACTTTGCGCGTACCGAGGCATGTGTGAGCCCCACACGTGTTTTGAAAGATTTTTAAGGGTCATTCAAGGATTGTTATGAGTGGGTAGGTAGAAAAACGGTCGAAGTTGAAACTAGTAATGTTAGGCTAGGTTTGTATGGTTAGAATTAGTTTTTTTTAAGAGGAGAAAAAAATTGGAAATGTTATTTAGTATTACTAGGTAGTTATACTAATAACTCAAATATCTAAAATAAAAAATTTTTAAGGGTTATTCAAAATTTGCTATGCATGGGTAGGTAAAGCTCGGGTTTCAAGGCCGAAGTTAAACTAGTAATGTTGGCAAGGTTAGTATGGTCAGAATTAGTTTTGTTCAGAGGAGATAAATTTGGAAACATTATTTAGTATTACTTGGTAGTTATCGCAGAGTAAGGAGGTATCAGATCTTTTGTTTACCGCGTGATCACATACTGATATGAAACAAGATTCTGCAAAACGTCTCTGAATGGTGTTCCGTTCATGGTAGAGAATACTGGCATTATAAAAGTTAAAGGAGTGTTTGAAATTTTTGATGTGTTCTGTTATCATAGTTTGGTTTTGGTTGGGGTTTTTCGAATTATTGTCGTGTTGTTTGAGTCTTTTTATTAAATTTTGTCCGGTTTCACCTATGTGAGTAGAAGGGCAATCATTGCAATTTATTTTGTAGACAATATTGGACGTACGTTCTATACTAGTGGGAGATTTCAGGTTTGTGTAGAGGGATTTAAGAGTTAGATCTATGTTGCAAGTTAGACTGATGTCTACCTTATGAAAAAGTTTTTTCCCCACTGGAAAAAGTTCTTTTATGTAAGGTAAACAAACGTTGCCTATATAGTTATTGTCTTTAGAGTTTTTTCTGGGGAAAAAGAAGAATGCATACTGTTGAGGGTTTTAAGTCTGTTGGAGGTGACGGAGTTGATGAGGTGCGGTGGATATGAGTTGTTAATTAAAGTCGTGCGGATGAGGGATAAGTTAGAGGGCCAAAATTGTTTGTCTGAGAGTAGGATGGCATGGTCGACTAAATTAATAATAGTGCCTATCTTCATGCTAGAAGGGTGGTAAGAATGATAATTTAAATACCTACCCGACCAAGTAGGTTTTTGGAATTGAATTTCGAAACGTTTGAAATTAAAGATTATTTTATAAATCTTTGCCTTTTTCTTTGTTTGATGTATCGCCCTCAAGAACTCACTCATATATTTCAACATCAAAATTAACTACTTAATCATATATATATATATATATATATATATATATATATATATATTACATTCCAAGAAATTAATCATATAATTCAACATATATTTCAACAACTTCAACACACACACACACACACACATATATATATATATATATATATATATATATATATATATATTGAAGAGATATTAATTATTGGTTCTCTTCTTAAAAATATTAAGCAAGATTTGAAAGAGCAAAGTCGTTTTTTATTTTGTTCAAGATTTAATTGTTGTATTTAAAGCCATCTAGTGCCGAGGTTTTACATTTTATGCATTTCGGTGAAATTGGGTTTTATAGCGCTCAACATAAGCTTTAAAATGAATGCTGTTACAAGTTTTTTGCGTGTAACATGAGTGAGCTATCATGCAAATAAGAAGCATATACGAAGTTTTTTTCTTTTAAATCATATGGTTTAATGAGCGCCATCTCCGCCAGAATTAGAGCAATTCACATTCCATCTAAAATTCACTTTATTATAGACATCTCGATGGATTCTAACAGATTCACTACTTTAATACAAACTATTTTCAGAAAACTCACGATTTTATAAAAACTTTTTTTTCCAATTTGCGCGGCCGCGCAGTCTTTAATCATTCATAACTCTGTCAATTTTTGTGTGAAAAATAATAAAAAACAATGATAAGCCAGAAAGA